GTAGGTTTCTGCCAGCTCTACTTGAATGAGAAGGACTACCCACCTGGCTATGCCTTCGACGTGGAGGCCATGAACTTTCCAAGTAGTGGCCTCTGTTTTGCGGGACTCGTATCCATGATTGACCCACCCCGGGCCACTGTTCCTGATGCTGTGCTCAAGTGCCGCACAGCAGGCATCCGGGTATGCCACTGGGGAGAGGACCAGGCAGTGATGAGGACAGAGGGTAGCAGTATTTGGGAATGTGGAAACCCAGTGGCAGAACCCTCCTGAAACTGGCTTGAATAGAATATATTCGTTCATGATGCTGAAAGGTTCCTAGGAATGTATCTTCAGGTACAGCTGAATCCAGGTGCTCCATATTATTAGGAATTTGCTCATGTCTCAGGTATATGTTTCTCTCTGCTGGCTTTATTCCCAAGAAGTTGCTCAATTTGGATGGGTAAAGATGACAACCTGCCTTCTCACCCCCAACAGCTTTAACTTTAACAGGGAGTTCCTACCTGTCCTGCCAGATTGGGTCACATGTTCATTCCTGAACCAGTCATCATGGCTGGAGGATAGCATACCTGCCCAATCTAGAAACCTCATTTCAACTAATGGTCTGGGGGACAGAGATGGCTCCTCAATGACAAATCAAGGGTGGAAGAGCCATTGCTGAGCAAATCATGCCCAAGCCCTTCCTCAGGTCTCCAAGGCCCTATAAGCTCTGGGCCTTGCTCCCACTCTGGGCTCATTCCTTAGCCCTTTTCCCCCATTCACACCAGTTGTGCTGTTCTTGCTTTTCCTCCAACAGTTCAGGCATATTCTCACCTCCTGGCCTTGGATTTACTCTCTGCCAGAAATGCTCTTCTTAAAGATTTTTCTCACCTCCTTCTGGTCTCTGCTCAGATGTTACCTACTCAGTGGGGACTTCCCTAGGCACAATTAACCTGAGCCACCACTTCCTTCACTGAGCTTATTTTCCTCCCTCCTTCTAAACATGCCATATCACTTATTTATTTTGCCTGTTTACTGTCTACCCCACCAGAATGTCAGCTCCACAAAGTACAGGAGTACTTTCCTCACACTTGGTTGAATAAAGGAGTGTATCAGCAGATGCCTACAGGGAGGACAGGGAGACTGGGTTGATCGAAAGGTGTCAAGGAACCGCTGGTCCCCCCACAGGTGATCATGGTGACAGGTGACCATCCCATCACAGCCAAGGCCATCGCAGCTAGTGTGGGCATCATCTCGGAAGGCAGTGAGACAGTGGAGGACATTGCTGCCCGCCTCCGTGTGCCTGTGGACCAGGTTAATCGGAAGTAAGTCCTCCTCAGCCCTCGCCATGGTTCTCCCACAGGCTCCAGCTGAGAGCCTCCCACCCCCTCTCCAGGGATGCCCGTGCCTGTGTGATCAATGGCATGCAGCTGAAGGACATGGACCCATCAGAGCTGGTCGAGGCCCTGCGCACACACCCTGAGATGGTGTTTGCTCGCACCAGTCCCCAGCAGAAGCTGGTGATTGTGGAGAGTTGCCAGAGACTGGTGAGACCCTGCTGACGAGGCCAGGCAGATGGCGGGGCAGGCCCTGGGCTGGCGTCTCTCTGACTCTCCACCCACCTGTACCCATGGCTTGCAGGGAGCAATTGTGGCCGTAACAGGGGATGGTGTGAACGACTCCCCCGCCCTGAAGAAGGCAGACATTGGCGTAGCCATGGGCATTGCTGGCTCAGATGCTGCTAAAAATGCAGCCGACATGATCCTGCTGGATGACAACTTTGCCTCCATTGTGACGGGTGTGGAGCAAGGTCTGGTCTGGCTAGGGAAGGGAAGGCCGTGTAGGTGCAGGTGGCAGTGGGCTGCCAGGAAGCTGAGGTGCCTGCTGTACCCCCACAGGCCGACTGATCTTCGACAATCTGAAAAAGTCCATTGCCTACACCCTGACCAAGAACATCCCGGAACTGACCCCCTACCTCATTTACATCACTGTCAGTGTGCCACTGCCCCTCGGGTGCATCACCATCCTGTTCATAGAGCTCTGCACCGACATTGTGAGTCTACAGTCCCAACGCCCCACCCTACCCATGGTGCCACCCACAGGTGGACTCCATGGACATGGTCATCACATACACTCTTGGACACAGAATGACAGGACATAGGCACACATCAACAGGTGGCCAGGAGTGGACATGCAGGTGGGCAGGCCTGGTCAGACACACAGGTGGACACTCAGGAGGCATGCAGAGACCATGGACATAAGGGACTCTTGGAAATCTGGACAGAGATGTTAACAGATATCTGGCCAAACATGGATCACAGACAGACATCCCAAAATAGATATGGACAGACAAACCCCTTCAAATAGACCAGCCACAGATACAGCCCCAAATGCAGCCAGGTACATGGCCACATTGACATGCTTATTAGTTTAGTCTCTAGTCTGGCCCTGCCCATGATAATTTACTTAATGTTGTCCTTATGAGCAAGCACTCTGTGAGATGATTCTATTGTTCCCATTTTGCTGATGAGGTCATTGAGGCATAGATTTGGCTTGCCGCAGGTCACACAACTAGTAAGTGGCATATCCAGGATATGAGTCTGGGCAGGCAGGTGCCCCAGGCCTGTGCACTTGATCAGTATACTCTGCTGCAACTGTGTCACAGGACCGTCAGTGAGCGGGGGGGGGGGCAGGGGTCACAGGTACACTGAGGAACTGAAGAGATACAGAGTGACAAAATAGCATGGGAGCAGGGACACACAAAAGTAGGGAGACAATTATAGAGAAAGAGGCTAGAGACAAAGAAAAAGATGAAGAGACAAGAAGTAAGAAAGAACTACAAGGAAGCAGAGAGGCCCAGACTGGAAGCCCCCAGAAACCAGAGAACAAACTAGATGACAGAGAAGGAAAAGGAGATGAGCAAGGAAGGGAGAGAAGGGGAGGGGAGAGAATGCATGTGACCAAAGGACAAAAGCAGACATTCTTATGGAGATGGACTCCAGGAACATGTGGCCAGACATGCCAGAACTCCCATGGGGGCAGCTGGACACTCGATGTCCAGGCAGGTGTGGTCATGTGGTCACCGCAGGTCCTGCTGCCTAGCCTCAGTCTTGTTCTTTCCAAGGGGCTGTAGTGGGGCAACTCTAGAATATGGGGGACAGGAGCCCAGACAAATCCTCAGCCCTGGTTTCTTCTGCTCCTGGCTAGTTCCCATCTGTGTCCCTGGCATATGAGAAGGCTGAGAGTGACATCATGCATCTGCGACCACGGAACCCAAAGCGAGACCGACTGGTCAATGAGCCCTTGGCTGCCTACTCCTACTTCCAGATTGGTGAGTGCCCGTGGGGCCAGGACGGGGCTCCCCAACTTGCTCTGGCTCGCAGTGCTTGTTTTCTGTGTCTCCCTGGTCCCCTTCTCTCGTGTCAACTCTGTGGTGGGTGCTTTTGGTATATCTTTCTTTTCTCTGTTCCTGTCTCTCTGCACCTCTGTCTCCTGTGTTCCTAATGATCTCTCTTGGGGTCTTTGCTCTTCCTGTGTCCCTGCCTCTGACGCCATGTCTGTGTTTGTCCATATAGACTGTTTCAACGTCACTGGCTGTGTGTTCTGGACCTTCTTTGTGTACCTGTCTCCATCTCTGTTCCTGTCCCTCCTTGTGTCTCCTTGCTTGTCTTCCAGGTGCCATCCAATCATTTGCTGGCTTCGCTGACTACTTCACAGCCATGGCCCAGGAGGGCTGGTTCCCTCTGCTGTGTGTGGGGCTGCGGCCACAGTGGGAGGACCATCACCTACAAGATCTGCAGGACAGCTATGGCCAAGAGTGGGTAAGCCCCTTTTCCATCCTATTCCATTGCTCCCTCTTTCCCAGTGACATCCACCTGTGTGGTCCATACTCACTGCTCACACAGAACTGAGTTCAGCCACAGCATCCCAGGCACCCAAACTCTCTTCCAATTCTGGGGGAAGGGGCCTTTCCCAAACCATCTGTGGTTCTACGCCCCGCTCCTGATGCCCACACCTGCAGAAGGGCCTCTCCCTTCCCTAATAGCAGCACAGCATCTTAGGTGTGGAAGTTCTTGTCATTTTCCTTGCAGTGTCCCTCACACTCAGTACTGGTGTGAGTGGTCCATTTCAATGAAGGTCTGGAGCACAGTGAGGCTAGACGTGACTACCAGATGTGTTTAGTTTGCTCTAAAGAATAACAGAATACATAGGGTTGCTGGGAGGATGGAATGAAAATGACACACAGGAACACCAGCTGCCTGGAGCACAGTAGCTGCTCCCTACACAATTAGCTGCTATTAAAATTAGCTGTGCTGAGGAAAGGGATTGCATGGTGGCTGTACTGGAAGTGGGGCATATGCCCTGTGTTCTCTAAAGGCCCTCCTGGCCACTTCCCTAATTTTGCCATCTGCCTGCCCCTGGAGTCACTGGACTTTGCAAATCCTGCCTCGAAGTTCCAATTTTCTTTTCCTCTTCTTTTGGTTGCCTGAGAAATCTGTCTTCTCGGTTCACTGTGAAGCAATCTAGCCTGGCCTACTGTGTCAAGTTGTCCAAGCTTTGCTAGATTCTCAAACCTCCAAGATGCTGCATTATTCCCTTCCCCCAAGCCCAGTCCCTGATGTGAGGGGAAAGGTGCATTTAGGGCTCAGGACCTTGGTGCCCTGCGGAGGCTCTGTGCTGGGCTCAGGCTAATTTGTCTCCTTCTTGTCCAGACATTTGGACAGCGCCTGTACCAGCAGTACACCTGCTATACTGTGTTCTTCATCAGCATTGAGATGTGCCAGATCGCTGATGTCCTCATCCGCAAGACACGCCGCCTCTCTGCTTTTCAGCAGGGCTTTTTCAGGTGTCCCTAGCTGACTCCAGCCCCCATCCCATCCCCATCCCTGGTCACAACTCCCATCAGACCTTGATGAAGGCTCACTAAGCCAGCAAATGCCAGTACCACTGGATACCCAAACCTTCCTATCAGTTGACCAGTTGCTCTCCCATGTGCCTCTCAGCTGGCCCTTCCGTGTTTCCTAAAGGGCTGATGCTGACAGGGCCAGCTCCCACTACTGGAGAGGCCTGGGCTGCTCCAATGTCAGATGTGTAAACATCCCCTGTTGCCTCTGACAGTTGACCTGCCTTGACCCAGCACCCTGATTTCCATCTGGTCCCCGAGTCCTGTTGGTCTATCTTCATCCCAAGTCTGCCAACCTGAGCCTGTTTCATTCTGCCCCACCTGCAGGAACAGGATCCTGGTGATTGCCATTGTGTTCCAGGTCTGCATTGGCTGCTTCCTGTGCTACTGCCCCGGAATGCCCAACATCTTCAACTTCATGCCCATTCGGTGAGGGGTGGTGAGGTGTAAGCAGAAGGATGGGGACACAGACCTTGGGATGGCCTTCACCTTGCCATCTTGCCTGTGCTTCAGGTTTCAGTGGTGGCTGGTTCCCATGCCCTTTGGTCTCCTCATCTTCGTCTATGATGAGATCCGGAAACTTGGAGTTCGCTGTTGCCCGGGGAGTGAGTGTGGAACTGGGGGGATGGAGGCGGGGGGCTGAAACATTCTCAGAGGTGCTGCCCTGACTTTGATCTTCGACACTTGACCTCCAAGCCCTCCGTATCAAATTGCAATTTCATAACCTCTGAGGCCATTGTTCCCTCTGACAGGCACCCCCAGCTCTGAGACTCCTTTCTCTCTCTCTCCCCCAGGCTGGTGGGACCAGGAGCTTTACTATTAGAGGGCAGGCTGCCTTCAGGCCATCCCTGCATCCAGCACAGGCCAGTGAGCATGGGACTCACAGGACCTTCTGGAAGACCACCAAATCATCTGTATAATCAAGAGTCCCAGCCCTACCCATGTCTGCTTCTGAGCTATGGCACCCCAACCTTGAAGGGGCTCTATTCACTACTCTTCCCCACCCCAAGCTCCCTTCCTCCTGGGGAAGCAGTCCCTAGGCACTGGCTGCTCCTGGTGAGATGTGCTTGTCCTTGGGACACCAGGCTGGGCAAGAGGGCTGCCTGGGACTCTTCGTTAAAAACACATATTATATTTAATAGTAATAAAACAATCCCCACATTGGCTGTGCTTTTAATTGGTGCCAAGTGCTGTCTTAAGTGTTTTTCATCAGCGCCACTGACCTCTCACAGTACTACGGTACGGGGACTATTTATTCAGGGTTGCAGTCTCCTGGGCCTAGGACACAGCCTGGCAGATAGTAGGCATTCAATAAACCTTCCTTGGAGGCCAGAGGTGGGGTAGCTCAGTGGAAGAGCACTTGCCTATCATGCACCAGGCCCTGGGTTCAATCACCAGCACTGAAAAACGCAACACAGAAACCAAAACAGAAGAACCACCTCATCCCCCAAATCTTCCTTGGGAAAATCAATTCTAATTTCCTTGCCTAAGTTTGCAAAATTTATAGGTAAGTTGAGATGCGACTGCAGGCGCCCTCTAGAGATGGCCTTTAGCCACTCCAGTACACTGTGTCTGGGCTTTCTGTTCTCAGCACCACTTCTCCCTCCTGGGAGCTCCTGATGAGAGGATCCAAATTTTCCCTGCATTAAGCACCACTGCCCCCTGCCCTTAACAGGGTTCTGCCCTCATTCTTCCTGCTCACTCTCTTTGCCCCTGCGAAGGCCAGTCCCCCAACCAGTTCCTCATCTGAAGTTAACACCTACAACTGCTGGAAGCACCCAACTCCACCTCCCCTGTTGGCCACTGCTCTTTGCTTATCTCTCTTCCCTTTTTATTATGAGTTTCTCTGCCTGGGTCCTGGGCTTCTTCCTCTTCACCACAGACCCTGATGTCTTCAGTTCTGTCTCTGAAATGATGCCTACATATGGGGTAATGACCAGGGCCTGCTTCCCAAGCCTGTCTCCATTTACTGTTCAATCTCACTGACAGCACCACTATCTCATCAGTGTGAATCCTCCCTGGGAGTGCTGGGAACCTCTGGGGGAACAAGTCCCAAACTTGTGCTATTCCAGACTCCTCTGCACCTTTCCTCATCTCTCATTTCCCCACTGTGTCCTCTACTGATAAGCAGAAACATGGCACATTGGTCACCGCCATTTCTCTAGCTGGCTTCTAGCCTCAATCCTCCTGCCCTTGCCAATTCTGTGCTGGTCCAACTCTGGCCTCGTGGCATGTATCTCCCTCCATACAACAACCAAGCACAGCTTTCTAAGCTAAATTTAACCCTGTCCTTCCCCTTCCCAGAGCTCTCCATGGGTCCCCATTTCCCCATTCAATTCTCCAGTCAGCCTCCAGTGATCTGGTATCTGCCAACCTTTAGTGTCACAAGTCCCCTTGAACTTGTTCCAGCTAGTTCTTGGGTTCTCAGAACATCTACTCTGCCCTACCCACATCCTCTCCACAGAGCCCAGCCTACCTCCAGGGCGGGTCAGACAACTCCTCTTGGTCTCCAAAAACCCTGTTTTCCCTTCACAGCTCTCATCACTGCAGCCAGGCTCATGGCGATCTACCACTGCCCAGGCTTCTCCATCACATCTGACCTTTCTAGCCTGCGCTCCCCGGACCTTAGCCCTAACCACTCTACTCTCCTTCATCCTACATAAGAAGGGATTATTTCAGACAGCTGGTTATTTCTATAAACTTCACCTATCTCAGTTAGTGTAAAGGGCTGGACAGGTCATGAGAGGGAGGTGTGGGAAAAGTAACACTACCACAAAAAAATCTACCCAGATGGGCTGTGGGTGTACCCCATTTTCTTTCCTCATTAAAACTGAGGTGATCAATCACTCCCAGCCCCCAAGAAACTTGAGAACTATCTTAGGCCCTGAAGAAGGGTGGGGCTACAGGGTGGCTTCCTCATCTGAGGGTAAATGCACACTCTGAAAACACCAACTGCCATAGCAGGGCTGAACAGAGCCATCCTTTCCCAGGACTGAAGTCAAGTGAAACGTAGGTGCTGTAGGCTTGGTGGAGGGTGAAGGCAACTGTCTCATCCCAGTGGGAACACTAGGGCTGGGGAATACTTTCCTGAGGGGGCAGGATTTGCATCAAGCTTGAGCTTGACATTCAAAGGTCCACTTCTGGTATATGTCCCTCAGGGAGGGTGAGGAGGTAGGGCAAAGAGCTAGTCCAGTGGACCAAGGCAGGGAGTGTTGGTGGTGGAGGGTGGCATCTAAGACAATGTCCAAGCTGGTGAATTCCACTGCTGTGCTATTTTGCTGTTGCTAACCCTATACTCCCACCCTGAAGACTCAGGCTAGGATGTGAACTGAGGGGCATAGGACTGAGTCAAAGCACCAAGAAATCAGAATCAAACCCACTTATGCCCACCCATGGAGGGCCTCTTTTTTTTTTTTTTATACTGGGGATTGAATGCAGGGGTGCTTAACCATTGAGCAACATCCCCAGCCCTTTCTATATTTTATTTAGAGACAGGGTCTTGCTAAGTTGCTGAGGCTGGCTTTGAACTTGCAATACTACTGCCTCAGCCTCCCAAGATGCTAGGATTATAAGTGTGTGCCATGCGCCCACTTGGATTAAATGATGTTAAGAATTTGACTGTAGAAATCAACCCAGGGAGAAACTCCAGAGAGATCAAAGGTCAAAACCAAAGGTCACTCTTTATGGCATAATGAGAAGCCACAAATTGTTGTAAGCAAGGAAGAGTGACCTAGCAAAACAGGTATAGACTGAAACACCAACCCAGCTATAGGCTGTCACTTAGAGGATGGATTGGAGGATGAGACTGGGGCTGGGAATCTTAGAGGTAACTAGCCAGGGAAGAGTCCAGGTGGGAGAGGGACCAGTTGAAGGTTTGAGGAGAGGAAGAAGAGCCCTCAAGAGCCCTCTCTTGGATTCTAGCTCCCCTCTATCAACTGTTCCCAGGCCTCTGTGGCTATTCAAAGGTCATCTATTTTAAGCTCTTCATCTATCCTTGAAAACCAGGAGTCTAGGAACTGTGAGGACAGAGGAAATGTCAGAGGACTGACTGGCATCCCAGCTTGTCTGCCTGGTTCCAAAGCCAGAAGAAGGGTCTCTAGGACCTAGGCGGACATAGTATAGGGAGACAGTTCTTGAGAGAAACAGAGGCAGAAACAACTTTCCAAATACTGTTTACTTCACTAAAACAACCTGGAGAGAGGCAGGGAAAAGGTCACCAGTCCTAGGAGTGCACATTGACAACGGCGACATACAGGGCCAAAGTGCTGAGGGCCAGCAGCCCTGTTACCACTGCTCGGGCCAGCAGTGCTGTCCAGCTGCCCAGGGAGCAGAGGTGGACGAAGGTCCTGTGGGGAAACATCACAATGAGGAAAGGAGACCAGAAAACCCACCCTCATTTGGACCCAGCCTCAAAGCCCCCTGAGCTCACTCCATGACAAAGGCCTTGTAGACACTAAGGAACATCAGCAGGAGGACAGCTGGCCGGAAGGTATGGTACAGGTCATAGCGTGTTATCATCCAGACTTGGGCAGAGGCAACGATGTAATGGACCTGACAGGAGGGAAGCAAGAAGTTGGGGCCAGGCCTTGGGGAGAGATATGGCCACTGAAAAAAGGTATATGTGGCACGGAGAGCAGGACTGCATACCAGACTGATGTTGGAGTCAATGCTCATCTGGATGTATTTCCAGTCAAACTCAATACCCCGGGCTCCAACCCAGAGGGGGATGCAGCTGAAGAAAGCAAAAGGAGGGATTTTCTGGTACCCAGACATCCTTGATACCCAGACTGAGGCCACCCCCTCCCCCAGCATCCCTGTCCACCCAAGTGTCCTTTCTTAGGATAGTATGGGGTCCAGGCTGCTACACACACCGGGACATAATGAGCTCTGCAGTGGCCCAGCCCAGGGCAGCAACCATGATCTTGTACTCCCCCTTGCCGGCATTCCGGGACATGACAAGGTTTAGGCCTATTAGGTCTGCCACATCCACGCTGGCCTTCATGAACTCCTGTGGGTCAGGTTGAGGCATGAGTAAGCATAGGGCCAAGTAGCCCTGCTTGTGCACTTCCTGTCCCACCCTCACCCTACTCACCCCAATGAAGTCATAGATGCCACCTTCCCAGGTGGGGAAGAAAGTGGCCAAGAACAGCATCTGAGAACAGAAAGCAGAAAGGTCACCTCAAGGTGAGGGGGAAAAAAAAAACACCTATGTGTTTTGTGGACAGTTAATGTTCCTGTGAAAAGCGGGACACTATAGATTCCAGGGGTCTTTCTGGGAGAGAGTGGCAAGATCACAGGGCTACGGGAGATAGAAGGTAGATGTCTGTGTCTGTGGGGGCTGGGAATTCACAGGGGGTATAAGGTCTAGAGGTGCTGGGGTGGCAACTCAGGAAGTGCTACCAGCCCCGTGTGACACGCGGCGGGGTTAGTTATCGCTCTTAACCATACCAAAAAACCTCTGTGCCAATCCTACAACCGAGGTTTTCTCAATTTTTACCGAAAAGTGCTAAGAAAAAGTTGCTTCAAGACCTCATCTCCGGTTCCACCCCTTCTGGGGTCCATACTCCAAGGGACCTATGCGGAGTCCTGAAAGCGATCCCACGTTGGGGGGACAGCGGCAGAGCTGTCCCTGGGTCTGGAGAGCGTGGGGGCCAGACACGTGGGGTCCGGGCGGCCCTCACCTTGCATAGCTGCACAAAGAGGTAGGTGACCCCGGCCTGGACGCATTTCCAGAAGGCGTTGTACTCAGACCTGGAGAAGCGGGCGGTGAGGGGTCGGCCTGGGCCCCGCGCCCTCTCCGCCCCGCGCCCGCCCCGCACTCACAGGCCGCTGCACTTGTACGTGATGAAGTAGGGGAAATAGGCGAGGGCGAAGCAATTCCCGAAGTGGAACAAGGTCATGTCGCCGGCCGCCCGGTCCCGCCTGCGCGGGAGTCGCCAGGCGACCTCTTTCGACGCGGGTCTCTCGCCTCCACCGGCGTTCTCGCCGGGGTAGGGGCCTGGCGCCCACCTGACTGGACTGGCCGCGGCCCGCGCGCGGCCTTCTGGGAGCGGTAGTCCGGACACAGGCGTCGCGCGCCGTGACGTCAGAGCGCCCGCGTCCGGATCTCGCTTCCCAGGGTTCCAGAGTGGAACGCTGTTGAAACACCTTATCGGCCACGCTGCGCGCCGTTCCCCG